AATAAAACAATATTTTTAAAAACCCATTGGATGGCAGCACTCTCCCCCAAGAAGTATTAGCCGAATTCATATTAGGGACGAGAAACTCGTCTTAGATGGGAAACTCGTCTACGAAAACCCGTCTGAATATGAATTTAGGGACAGATAAATTTAGACGGGTAATTGGCCGGGCGGATAAGGGCAGGTTACAAAGCAAATTAAAATGGCGGCCTTCCTTCAAAATGTTATCTTAGGCAGAAAAAGAAAGGCCCAAAACGACTTACAATGTTTCAGACAACAGTCAAAAGCCCGTAGACTTCTAACGATTGAAGATGGAAATGGATTTGGTAATATACTAGGTGGATTTATTTGTGGTTGCACAAAAGAACGAAGACCTAAAGGACAGAGTGAGCAAAGGTCTTCTCACTGGTGAAGAAATGGTTGTGAAAACTGGATGGATAAGCAGTTCAAAAAAAGATTTAGGGTTAATCGAAACACGTTCAACTATTTACTACAAGAATTGCAAGAGTCTATTAAAAGGGAGACGACCCGGTTTAAGGTGCCAGTTGCTCCAGAAATTCAACTAGCACTCACACTTTATCGATTAGCCCATGGTTGTTCATTCTCAACAGTTGGCGATTTGTTTGGGATTGCTACCTCAACAACGTGTAAAACCTTCAATGAAGTTATTCGAGTTATAGTTCTGATCTTTTTTGATGAGTATGTGACCCTATCATCAACTGAGGAAGAATGGAAAAATGAGTTGAAGGCTTTTCTCAAGGATTGGGGTTTTCCCTGGGTGGCTGCTTGGGACGGATTTCATGTGTATATATGCAGTAATCTTAAGAATTTCTACAGTTTCAAGAAACGATACTCAGTAACAAATATGGGATTGATTGCAGCTAACAAAAGGTTTCTTTGGGCAGGTGTGGGAGCCCCAGGTTCTATGCATGACTCCACGCTTTTGAAATCTTCTCCGATTTTCAACGAAATTGAATCTGGGCATGTACTACCTAATTGTGAGATGAATTTACCAGGTTGTGGAAATATTCCACTTGGAATGGTAGGAGACAGTGCTTTTCCAGCATGCTCATGGTTGATGAAAGCTTTTGATGATACCACAAAAAACCGAAAAGAACGAAATTTTAACAAACATTTAAGAGCTGCAAGAGTAGTTTCAGAGCATGCCTATGCCATGTTAAAAGGGAGATGGCGCATTATATATAAGAAAACTGAATGTCGCAGAAGGAATGTAACCGCAATAATCATGGCATGTATCACATTACATAATATCTGTATTAAAAGGGCAGACCCTTGTCTTCCTCGTTGGCAGCTGGAGATTCAAAAGTTGGAACTAATATGCAAACCTACGAAGCGATCTGAAGATAAAGCTCTGAGTAATAAAGTGCGTGACATAATCAAAGAATGGTTATGGTCTTTAAAATCAGAGTGAACTCTAAGCTTATATTGTGCATACTGTAATAACCTAAATCTAAATTGTTGTTTACATTGCTATGGCTCCTCCAAGTTATGTCTATGAGTGTTGAACACTCTCTCAATTATCATTGTTGTGTTGTTATTCTCCATCCTGGAAGGTTCTTCAAAAACTTGTTTCATTGTCAAGAAAAGCTGTAATAATGTTTAAAGGAATGTTGACCATTTCAAACAATCACATGTTAACTAAGGCGCCATTCACAAAGAATGGCCGGCCAAATAATGGATTTTCAGACCTCCCCTCCCCCCCTGTCTGGCATTGTCAGAGTTAGTTAACCCCCCTCCCCCCAGACATCCGCCATGCCTCGCAAAAACTCGCGCAACCTTGATATGTCAAGAGTAAAAAAGCTTTTCTTACTTTTAGCACTTTTTTTATAACTATAAATGTGAATACAAAGAGTTATAAAATGCAGAAAGCTATTATTTCATGGTTGAATTGGAAGGCTTGAATTAGATAATATTATGAAGTGTTCAAAATGTTCAAACCAATTTCACAATGGGAAGGAAAGTTCAAAATAAAGGGAAAAGAAATTTGTTTTTGAATTTTTTAAAAATTTTGGACATCCAGATTGCTAAAACCCCTCCCTTATGTCTGAGTTTGTCCTGATTTACCAATCCCCCCGGCTTGGACATCCTTTGTGAATGGCCCCTATAAAAATAAATGCAAGTTCGTGTTCATTTTACATAACACTTTAACATTCTTTTAAAAAACGTTTTATGCTGTTACCTGTCACAATTCATTATCCAATATGGCGACTACACCACACGCCTCCAAGCGCGCAGTGCAAAATTCAAATAATGAGAACCTATGCACGCCAACAAAAGCAGTAAAATAAAAAATACCTTAACCTAACACACCCGTGATGCAACTAAACGAAAAAGAAGAAGAAACGAGGATCGAAATGAAAGAAATTTACGACATGTTTAAAACAGTTATGAAGAAATTGGAGAAACTAGACAACATTGAGGCAGATATGAAGGAATTCAGAAAATCACTCGACTACGCACATGAAGAAATAGCGGATCTGAAGAACGCGAACAAAACAATGAAGGCAGATCAAGCGAAAGCAGCGGAAAGAATTGTAAAGCTCGAACGAGACAACAACACGTTGCGCGACAAGGTAATAGACATACAGGCAAGATCGATGCGCGACAACTTGTTATTTTTCAATATGCCCGAAAGCGAGGGAGAAAACACAACAGAAATGATCCACCATTTATTGGAGTCAAAGATGGATTTTGAAGACGCACGAAATAAAGTGAAGATCGATCGATCCCATCGGATTGGGAAAAAGAGAGCAGGAAATAACAGACCGAGACCAATCGTGGTAAAATTCAATTACCACCAAGACAGGGAATTTGTGCGAATAAACGCAAAGAAGCTGAAAGGCACAAAAATCGGCATATCAGAGCAGTTTCCGGAACAAATCGAGAGCATTCGTATCCAGAACTAAAAAAGGCCAAGGCAGAAGGTAAAAAAGCCAAGAATAATAGCACTAGATCTTGAAATTTGATAATTCCTAAAATATTGTGATGTATAGTATATATAGTTTCTATTCACCGAACAAACAAATACTGAGCTAGAAAACTCTTAAATGAGCAATCTTGACAATAATCAAAAGAAAAAGTGCTATTCTTGCCTTAAAATAACCCACAAAACACAAAAAGCAATTGAATGTCTGACATGTGCCAAATGGTTTCATGCTGTGTCAACATGCATAAAGTCATTTGACCCAAACATCGGAAATACAATTGACGTGTGCCAAGAATGCTTAGATAATACCTTACCATTTCAAATGCTTGATGATCTAGACTATGAACTTAATGTTTTAAATGGAAACAATCTCAGTGAAGAAAGTATGGATAGACTAAAGCATTTAAAATTCAACCCTTTCGAAACAACTAATATCACGTTATCTGAAAACAACGCAAACCTAGATAACCCGACCACAATTAACTGTGAATATTACCTACCAAATGATTTCGAACAACAAATAAATCGAGCGCAACTAATTAATAATAAACTTTCATTTATGCACTTAAATATTAGAAGCATAGTTAATAAATTTGATTCTTTTAAACAACTTATAAATTCATTTAACACACCGTTTCAAGTAATTGGTTTAACAGAGACGTGGCTAAATGATAATAACGATGATCTTTTTAAATTAGAAAATTACGACTTTGTAAATGTAAACAGATACAGAAAAAATGGCGGAGGAGTTGGTATTTTCATATCAAACCAAATGAAATATAAATCTCGCAAAGATTTAAATTTAAACTAAGAAAAGAATTGAATCAGTATTTATTGAACTTATAATACCATCTGGTAAAAATATAATAATAGGCGTAATATACAGACCACCAAACATAATATATACAAAGCATATTCAACATAACTATCTTATAAGCATGATCTCATAATGTAGGGAGTGGTCATTATTTATGGAGAAGTGGGTAGTGCTTGGCCAAATAGTGAAAATAGGGATTGAAAAATTTTTTTCATCCCCCCTCAATGGTAATGGTAATTTTTTTGCCCCCCTCCCCTTTTGAATAATATTCACTCCCTCAATATGAAAATATCTTATTGAAACACAACCAATCAAAACCCCTAAAAACGGTACTAAACCAACTCAACATTACTTACTCAACAAACGTTCTTTAGTTATCAAAGTCAATGTTCTAAAATAAATTAAAATTTATAGAGAGAATATGAGTCATTGTCCCCAGGCATAGATGTAGCAGAAGAATTAGGTGTGTTAATTGAACCATGTGAGTCAGGTTGCTGCTAGGCTATAACCATAACTTAAGGAGTATTGAAAGAGTGGGCCATCTGAAGATGATTTTGGACCTGTGGTTTGATATGAAGTTGATGATCCTCTTGTAAGTAGTTGAGCCAAAAGCATCTCATGTCTCCTGTTTGCCTCTGCTTGTTCCCTTTGGTGTGCATAAAATAGTTCATCCCTCTTTCTTTCTGCTTCTAATAAAATCTTTAATTGCTCATCTCTATTTTTCTCTTGCTCTTTAGTACTTGATTCAATGCTTTTTGCTACTTGTACTGTGGCTTCGCTTTGCGATCTTGGCTTTGAAAATAATTTCTTGGGATGTACTCTAATTTTTGTCTTTTTTGTAGGGCTTTTTTTCTCACTTTTGTCTGTGTTAGTCTCAGACTCACCAGCACTTTGCCCTTGAGATGATGTACTTAGGGTCCGCTTTTTACCCGCTGATTTATACCTTTTCTTGTCACTCAAAGCTCGACTCAAAGAATCGCTTTCACTCAAAGAATTGCTTTCGTCACTTGATTCAGGATTAAAGTGGTTTTCTGAATCAGTGGAATCAAAGGTGTTATCTACATCACTTGCTTTGCTGGAAATTGATGTCATGTTGTCAACTGCTTCACAAAAATGAGGATTCATGATATCGTACCAGGTTGGTACAGCTGTGTCCTTTCCTCCTGGGCCAGTTCCATTCTTTATCTTGGAATCAATTATTCTCCATTGTTTTTTGAATCACTTGAACTTTGCACGTAATTGTTCAATGGTAAATGTTTCATCACCAGAATCGTAACGCATCGTAATATCAAAGTCCTCTTTTATACGTCGAAACAACTCTTCGTTTGCAGACTTTTTTAATGCATAATTCTCGATCTAGTATAACCACGACCGCTCTGCGTTATCTGTTGAACAAAGCACGTTTGCATATGTGATAACTTCGTCTTCACTCCATACCTTGTTTTTTGTTTGTTTTGAAGTAGTATTCCTCGCTTTAATTTGCTTACTTGCTTTCGTTTTGGCCGCCATTTTGTTTGTCTCCCTTGCCCTAGTTCCAGTTTTTGACCGTGTGTTGGCGATGAGAAACTAGTCTTATTTATCCGTCTAAATTCGAATTTAAGACGGGTTTCCCGTCTAGATGGGATTCCCGTCTAACTTTCCCGTCTGTTTAGATGGGTAAGTAAGACAGGAAAAGTTTGGACGGGAAACTTGTCTGCGCCCGGATTCATATTAGGCGAGTTTCCCGTCTGAGACGAGTTTCCCATCTAAGACGAGTTTCCCGTCTCTAATATGAATTCGGCTATTAAAATCATCTGACGTTATTTTATTTATTTTTATTTTATTTTACAATCTTTGTCACATGAGCGGTTTAACCCACACAGCTAGTTGCTCCTTTACGGGTAACCTGCTAATGCAATACTGAAATATAGGTTAACACAGTGGATATATTGCTTCAAAATCGCTAATCACCGAGACGTTTGATTTAATGTCGTCCTGAGCAATTCTAAATTTAATTTAAATTTCACATGCTCACTAAAAAGTGATATTTCCACTGGGGTTATGCACCTATCAATGGGGGGGGGGGCGGGCATATGTGGGGTATTTGATCATCAATTGCATCTCCACCCTGGGGATTTTGATTAGCATTTTGGTCCCAAGTTGGGGCAATTTGAACCGAATGACTTTTATTAACATACCTTATTATAGGAAATTAACGATGCACTTTATTAACGCAACATCAAATTAACACGGATTGCTTCTAGGTTTTCTAAAACATGATTATATTAACGCAAATCTGACCTCCATGGTTGACAAATTAATTAAATTAACACGAATCGGATAGTGAACAGTTGAGAGGAGCACTGATGTTTTTAGTTTACGTTAATATGCTGTATTTTGATATTAGAAGAGTTAGTGTTATATAAAACAAATCAAGGTTTTTTTTACTCACAATAAATAAAAATTACATACTTAAAATTAACGATGACATAAATTAACATTAATTAAATTAACACGAACTTTTGAAATCCGTGTTAATAAAGTGCATCGTTAATTTCCTATAATAAGGTAGTATTTATTGCAAAATGGTGGGGTATTTGACCAATATTTATTGCCTGACAGTGGGGTATTTGATTGAAAATTTGCTCAAAAAATCAAATGCCCCACCCATACAATACATACATACATATACTTTATTTTAACTCGAATTTACAGAGTAGCTCAAACAATGAGCTAATATCTTCGAGCAACGATGTGCATTAGGTAGTGCATTAGGTAGATGTAATAACAAAGTTGCATGGGCAGACAGTCTAATTAATCCATTGAGTGGCAGCATGCTCTCCCTGATGAGTAAAATCGTCTGGCATTAGACTGAGTAAAATAACAAAGTAGAGCTGAGTATAAGGTGTATAATTTATAGTATTATAAACCTGGCATTTGCATTTATAATAGTAAGTGACTGGTGACCTTACATTTACTGGCTTGTCAGGGTGACTTTCTCCAAGCATCTCCTCCAGCTCTTGGGGCCCTAACTCTTGCTTCCTTTTCTTGCGCTGTGCAGTTGACTTTGGTGTGCGCTTGGTGACAACGTCCATCTTCGAATCTTCGACTTCCCCATGGCATGTGCTTTCTTCTGTCATAGCTTTTATGAATTATATCAAAGATACAATGGACTATAACATATATCCTATATATACTTACATAATTAAATGCTATACAGTATACGTTAGAAACTCGGAAAAATTGAAAAAAATCGTGCAAAAAATTCAACAAACTCACCATCTATCCCTGGGTCTTTGCATGCACAAATGCCAAGATTATCTCTCTTTAACCTCGGATGGTTTGGCTTCGTTTGATTAGGCAAACTGGAGAATCTTCGCTCGTAATCTTCAGGCAGAAAGTGAATTGAGCATAAAGTCGAAGCCTTCAAAGGCCTGTTTTGCCTTCACAAAGTCAACCCAGATTTTCCGTCTTCTCTTTGCTTCAGGTCGATCATCGTTGTAATAAGGAATAGTGTGAACACTTATACCTGAACTTAGGCAAGCTTTATTCATGCAATTGGCCGCTTCACAACTATTGACCATCTTTTTTACCAAACCAAACAAATGTAATATATGTATATGATCTACAGTGAATTTGCATGTGATTTTCACGAGTACCTTGTGGCCACGGAAGTGGTCCACAAAAAGTGCCTTTTTACCAACTTTAAACTGCCATAAAAATTGGACGATTTGATGAAATTCATTTTTGTTTTCGGCAAAATACTAGAAATCATGCCAAGATTTGATATCACAAAAACACGTTTGAAGCATTAGGGGCACTTTAAAAATATGTGTTATGTGTTATTACTTTGCAATGCAACATTTGTCCTACCATAATCCTAAGCCATGGCCCGTCTTCATATAGGGAAATGATTTGAACATGCACAGGAATTTTTTAAAGAAAAGACAGAGTTTGGTGTGGTATTGTATGTACTAGTAGGGGGTCTGGGAGTATTATCCCCCAGAAAATTTATTGTATTTTTCCACTCCTAGGACTGAAATGTGAGCATTTTTTTAAACAGATTTTTGGATATACAGCATTGCATTGTGCTTTGATAGACAGAATCTGATCAGTTAAGTGCCTTGCATGATATGTTTATGTAAATACCACAACTTGGTCACTCAGGTGGTAGGAAGCTTGTTAAACGTAGTAGGCCTGTTGATCGTTGGAAATGGCATTTTCAGAGTCTTTTTTGCTATTTGTGATTAGAGAAATCAGAACTCTAGAAATCTGAACTATTTAAGTTCAAAAAAAGTTTTGACCCCCCATTTCTCTGTGTTAAAACGTTTTTGACCCCCTTATTTATAAGGGTAAAACTTTGTTTGCCCCCTCCCCATAAATAATGACCACTCCCTAAGGAGGGTAAGAATATTATTATCACTACAATTCTATGTGAGGAAAAATAATGGTATAAAAGTGAAGACTTGTGTCACAATGCAGCAACAAAAAATTCCACATTGAAGAGCAGTCACCTGAAATTCCATTTTCTTTACAGATTTAATATGTTGGAATTGCCGTAGGAAGAGCCATCCCAGAAGATTGTGTCCCTATCAGCAGCCATCTGGTTGGAGAGGAAGGGGTCAAAAGGGAGCGAGGGGTGCAAGGGGAGGGAGGAAATATGTTGTATTTTTCCAATAATTTTTTTTAAAAAGATGAATGCATTCAAAACTAGAGGGCACTCAGAGACTGCATACCTCCGCCCATACAGCCTACAAGGTGTATAAACGCAAGTGCATAAAGCAAAATTTATGCATTTATTAAATGGCACTTAAGTTTTTATTTTACAAGTACAGTACAACTTTTACAAGTACAGTACAACAACAGTAATATGATCTATTAGCAATTCGATTTCAATTTCCAGGGACCTACAACCCAAAGGAGCGTTTAATTTGTATGCATAAGCTTTTGTCTTCTAAATTTCCCTTCTAAATTTCCATGGAAAATTTAGTTGAAAACCAAAGATTTCTTTGTCTGATGGAAATTTAGAAGACAAAAGAGTATCTCATTACCTCTCATTGGAAAGCTGTACCTCATCAAACATCATTGGCACAACTATGGACAGTATCTGACGACACATTCCCGCACACATTCGAACAATCACTTTGCTAGTTATTATTCCGCAATCTTGAACATTTCAATTGTGGGAGAAAATTCGGTTTATGTGCATGCCTAAAAAGAATGAACACACAGATGTGTTCTGCGTGTGTGTGTATGATATGAAAAGTGTTCATCCAAAAGACAATCCCGAGGGACTTTTACTAAACCTCCCTTGGTTTGCTGGTTCATTTTACTGTTATTAGAATTTGAATGGCCTAGCACTTTGCTGAACGCAACGAAGGGAGCCGACGTTAACGAAGGTAACTTTGTTTTAAATATTGATTGCTTTAAAACCTGACGGCCTTTGCGTATATGAAACAACTAAACAAGACAGAATATAATTTCAGTATCGCTTCCCATTTTTATTATATTGAACTTTTTAAATAAAAAAGAAAGCAAAGTTATTTGCATGCGAGAATTTGAAATCATTTTATTGCAAACTCAAAGTTTATCGATAAAGCCATTTAATTAAAGGCAGTTTAGTTTTATAAAGAACACTTTAAAACGTTTTGCAAAGCGTTTGTGGTTGAACAATACCTTAAACTGAAGCTTATATTACGTATAATAACATACCTATCATATAAATGTTGGGAAATTGATAATTTGGTAACTAAAAGTGATATTTATGCTTTCCACCCTATACCCGACATAACAATCCTAAACATATCGAAGCTTGAGTGTTGCATTGAGTTCTGTTTACTGGACTGCACGGTAGACAGTATAATAAATGTGACGCGTGATTGGGTTAATTTGGCTTGGGGGGGGGGGGTTAACAATCCCCCAGTCGCTTTATTTTAGATCTTCATAACAGAAATTAATTAATTATATATAAATATATATTGCACATGAAAGATGTGCTCAAACAGTTTTGCCCAGTAAAGGTGAGGGCAAGATTATGCCAAAGCATCTTACTCTGCTAAGATGCACCCCAGGCAATGCAAGACTCAAGTCTCCATCCACTATTCATCATATGAAGATAAAGTGAGACACAATGAATCAGAGATGCCCCTGCTAGCTGTGAATTGCGATGTGTCAGTGTGCAAAAATATAGTAAATGTACATTCCAACAGTAGCATGCAGTAAAATACCAAATAACTAATATGAAAATTGATAAGAAACTCCTGTTAATCTACAAGCCTTGAAAAATGAAGTCAGTGGCCCTTGCACACTGGTAAACTATGTAATAATATACAACTGCAACAACCAGTACCAGCCCCTGCTTGGTACCAATTATCACCTGGAAGTTGTAAAGTAACTAAATACTAAATAAATGAAACCGCAACAAGCAACAACCAGTACCAGCCCCTGCGTGGTACCAATTGTCGTCCGTTGACAGCTGCTTCTTATGGTAATTAGAGAAGGCCTTACGCCAAGACTCCCCGGTAGTCTTGTAGATAGGACATAATTATACAAATAATATTAGAAGTAAAAGTTAAGTGGAGAGTGATGAAACCCTGATGCTGAAAAGCATTAGACTTCCATCCATTTGTGCATCTGACATCCCCTTTTCTGCAGCATAAGAACCAGCCCCAATTCGGAAAATGTCAGATTTATAGCGAGTTGGATTCTAGACCGCAACAAGCAACAACCAGTACCAGCCCCTGCGTGGTACCAATTGTCGTCCGTTGACAGCTGCTTCTTACGGTAATTAGAGAAGGCCTTACGCCAAGACTCCCCGGTAGTCTTGTAGATAGGACATAATTATACAAATAATATTAGAAGTAAAAGTTAAGTGGAGAGTGATGAAACCCTGATGCTGAAAAGCATTAGACTTCCATCCATTTGTGCATCTGACATCCCCTTTTCTGCAGCATAAGCAGCAGCCCCAATTCGGAAAATGTCAGATTTATAGCGAGTTGGATTCTAGACCGCAAAATTGAAGAAGATTTTTGCAAGATTTTTTTTTTCGAAGATTTTTGCAAGCTAGACTGTTGCCAAGTGTGTAATTATACTTGCCAACTTTGAGGCTGCAGATGAAGGGGGATGTCCATTGGAAGCCTGTTCATGTTGGCTGGTGCTAACTGGTGAAAGGTGGACACCTGAAAGCGAGATAAAGAATCCGCCAATTTATTAGAAATTCCGACGGTATGTTTTGCTTTGAATACAATATTGTTTTGTAAGCAAACTAGCACCATTTTGTGCACAAAACACATCGAAAGATTTGTCACGACATGTTTTTTTGTTGATAACATGAACTAATGCTTCATTATCAGTAAAAAAATAAAATAGATTGGTTGCACATATGATGACTCCACAGGTAAAGGCTTAGGACAATTGGATAGAATTCCAAAATAGCAATGTTGCGATGCTGCCACTCAGAAGGCCAACGTCCATAGCACCATTCTGTGCCAAAAATAGCGCCGAAACCGATGGAGCCTGACGCATCAGTAAACAAATTCAGTTTGTTCGAATTCCGCCATGTTTCGTCCAGAAAAAAGGACACTATTGAAAGAAGATAAGAAGGTTTGCCAAAGGCGCAAATCTTCCTTGGTCTCATGGCTCAGACAAATATAGTAACCAGGATTTTTGACCCCATGTGTTAAGTCAATAAGCTGTCTCGAAAATGCGCAACCTGGCATATCACGGAACACACAAAATTCAACAATCCTATTAAAGATTGGAGTTCTTTGAGGGTAACCTTCTTTCGGTGTAGAAAGTCCGCAATAGTTTGCACACACTTTTCTATTTTATCGCGCGGTAAACAGGCTTCACATTTTATAGAATCTAACTCAATGCCCACAAATGTGAGAGTTGTTGCGGGACCGCAAGTTTTTTCAGGTGCAATTGGAATTCCGAGTTAAGCGCATAATTTTAAAAATCTATCCAATGTATCCTGACACCAGCTGTGAGTAGGAGAAATAAAAAGAAAATGAAAAGAAAATGAAGGAGTTTGTTGATATTGCACTTATGTCGAGCAATCCATTCCACCGCAGTGCTAAATGATTCGAAAGTTTTGCATGAACTTGCACATCCCATTGGCAAGCACTTGTCTTAATAATACATGCCGCGCCATCTCATTCCTAAGAGATTATAGTCAATCAGATTAACCGGCATAATTCGAAAGGCGTTTTTTATATCAGTTTTCGCAAAAAACAGCCATGTCCTGCGGCTTTTATCAAACGTATAGCTTCAGACACAGTGGCATAATGTGTCTTGTATGCTCGGGGGATATTCCATCGTTAACCAATGAGCCCTTGGGAAATGATAAATGATGAATTAAACGAAAATCACCTGGTGTTTTCTTAGGTACAAGGCCAAAGTACAAGGCCAAGAGGAGAAACGCAAAAGGAATCAAATGGCGGGGACGAAAATGGATCTGCCAAACGATGTGCAACCAATTCTTTGCCTAGTTTCATGTCAACAATTTCCGGATTGTCTAAAGCAGAAGTTAAATTTTTCGGCTGAAGTTTTTGAATTTCACTTTGAAAATGCAATGGAAAACTGTGCGAGAAACCAGAAATTAAAATGTTTACAATAGATGGCTTGTAAACCGATAACAAACTAATTAAGGGCTGAATTTTTACCGGCGTGAGTAATTGCGTTGGACTTGGCGTTGCAGGCGTCATTGGCACGTAACTTTACTTTTGAGACACGAAAATTACTTTCGCATTGACTGCCTTGTGAGTAGAACCCCTGGGAACTAGACTGCGTTGAGTTTGACGCAGAAAGCGAAAATTCTCATCGTAAAAACGCCAATTCTGCCCGCGAGACGCCAAGTCCTGAATTGTATGCCCGTATTTCATGAGGGTGGGGGCCTCATGCAGGTATTTTTTAGTATAAATGCCTACAAATATATGGAACGCTTGCAGCCAAACTTCAATGCTTTGGATATTTTTGGGCCTCGACGCCGGCTCGAGGCAGAAGGAAGCAGGAAGACCCGCTTCCGAATTCATAAAGGAAATTTGAAATTTCTCGTGTTCAGTATTGCTCAACGACAACAAGCTGCCAAAAGTGACAAACTCCTCATTCCATATTTTTCCTTTGAGTTTTGCCGAAACCCTGGAATCAAGTGGCAAACTGGCTGAATGAAAAATTTGAGTGGGCTCGGCAGAACTCGCAGGGCTATGACCAAAACTAGTTCTAATTGTACGCAATAACTGCAGCTCACTTGAGATGCTTGTGTGAGCCGCAGCTATTGCCCCAGTTACCAAGTTGGCTATGTCAGGAAAACCAGAGGTAGAAGATGGCATCGCCATTGGTCCACTTCGAGTCAAAACAGCAGCTGGCGCAGAAGGAGGTGATGTGGAAAGAGGCCCCTCTGCTCTTGGCGTGGGTTGCATTTACAGCAGCAGTCACCGACGAAACCAACTCCTGAAACAGTTCTGGCGTCATGGAAGAGATGGGACTTGTCGCATTGCCACCAGCCGCCGGTGGATAAACAGTCGCTGGCAATTGTACGTGGGAGATTGGACGTTTGCAATTCTTCCTGCGGTGCCGTGAGAGTTGACGGTGGTACGACAGTTGTGAGTGGATCAGCATTAAGAGTGGCTGCCGTGTTGCTTCTGGCCGACGAACAAGAACTACGTCGAGGACGCGGACCGCTAGCTGGGCCATTGGCTGGTCGCTTACGTGATTGCCTTTTTGTGGGTGGCATACTATAGAAGGATAAAGCTTACAGAACAGTATAAAATAGTAATGAGAAGGGATTATATAGAGTAGACGTGCTAAAAATATGGCATCATTGGGCCGCAAGAAAAAAGATGCTAATATGTAATGTAAAAGTTTTGCAAGGCAAGCCTGGCAGACATTTTTGCGTCGCCGATTGGCAAGCTCTGGATAGCCAAAGGTACCTTATAAGAACAAACTTCAAAAACATGAACAGTTCAGATAAACCAACAATGTTGGTACAATTATATTAGTCAGAACAAACTTCAAAAACATGAAGAACAGTTCATGAGATAAACCAACAACGTTGGCAAAATTATATTAGTCAGAACAAACTTCAAAAACATGAAGAACAGTTCATGAGATAAACCAACAACATTGGTACAATTATATTAGTCAGAACAAACTTCAAAAACATGAAGAACAGTTCCGATAAACCAAAAACGTTGGTATGCAAGTGTGGCATTAAAAATCCTCAGGACACGAGGAACAAATAAATCTGATATACGTATAGCTCATGAGCAAATCGTAAAGTATAGATGAGAAATGCTTACCTGAATTAATGACAGCTGAAGAAAATAATGAAAAGTTGACAAAACTTAGAAATTCACAGTAGTTCGTGCGTGAATGAATTTAACTTTGCAAGGATGTGTTCATCACCCCCTCGGTAATCCTTGTTGTATCAGGTTGTACCAGGTTATATCCTAGCTGCAATTCCTAAGTACACAGTATTATCCTATTAGGCTATTACCTACTTATCTAAATCTCAGAATCTCTAAATATTTTATTTTTAGGCAATTTTTCATTTGTAAGAATATTCTTTAAAAAATATTGTGTTACCATGACAACTACTTTAGATACTTCATGTTCGGAAAATACAATGGTTTTGTCACCAAGGTGAGGGTTTCTGCATGCATGTATTTGTGTATGTTTGTTTTGTAAAGGTGTTGACAAAATTAAAAGGATAGCGTTGTGGCATGGATAGCGGCAGCCAACTATATAGGAGGGAAGACAACTAAGATGGCTTAATCGTCAGAGCCGTCGACATCCTAATTCAAAATGCCAATCATTCTGAGTGAAGTTTTATTTGACACAAAAGAAGGAAGTCCAGCTGCAACTTGCAAGGGAAATGAAAAGCAAGTTTATTAGGCAATGAAAAGCAAAGTATGTTATTGCCAATATAATTCCAATATAGCTGCAGTGCAGAGGCAGTTTCAATCTCCAGCGTGATGTGTCGGTTTCTTTGTTGCAACACTGTCACTGGCGACAAAATTATAATTACAGATTTAAAAAAGTTATAATCTTAACATCAAATCATTCTACCGTAGGTCCGCAGCACCTGTTGCCAATCAATGAACAAACTGAAGATACCATTTCTTATATAGTGAGGCATTGTTTGTTTTTTGTTTTGAACAAGGTTGGGCTTCACACATGCATGGATCATCACAAGAACAATAATATAATTATTTCTTATACAACTTTTTATATGATTTCAATTTTTATATTTTTCAAAATTATACAACCACGAAAATAGTCATACCGAAGTGTAAGAAGCTCAATTGCTTGTAAAGGTCCTGGCTAATGGCAAAGTAGAAGTATATATATATAAATATATAAATATATAATTGATACGTTGAGGTAACTTTGCCCTGCTTGAAATCTCAGAAAGATCCAATTTGCAATTGATGGTACCAGTTGGGTTGAACTCGAGAGTCCTCAGGTCATACACTGTTCGATTACCAGTCTTTTTCCGGGCCGAATGCTTGCAAGATAGCTGCCATCTAGCTTGTGTAGCTTGTGAACTTCGTCACGAGCCACACTTCCTTCACAACATAAGGTGATGGTTTTGACTGCTGATTCCATGAAAACATAATCATGGAGGATAATGATGTCAGTTTCAGGGTGGGCATCAAGGAGTTCACTGAAGTGTTTGTATTACAAGTGTGCAAACATTTCACTGTTCATTCTTTGGTTTTCAGATTGTAAAAGCTGAGATTGTGCACCTGCAGCTTTGTTTTATAGTAAAGTGCACTAGCTTTAATTTTTGGCAACAGGAATACTGCTCGGACATCAATAGTCCACACTGATTTTTTCAAACCTGCATTCTCCGTATCCTTGGCTTTTTCAGCTCTGGCCTCATCCTTCACTTTAATATGGGCTTCATAGCTCACCTCATCAATGTTGCCATGTTTAGCACTGATGCAAGTGTCACATTGGTCTTTCCTGGGAATGAAGATGGAATAATTCAATTGATGAAAGATTACATTGAAGACTTTCATACATACTGCTCTGACCATTATCTTCTGCAGCTTGCTTGCCAGGCTCTAGAAACTTATTTTCATAACTTATTTTCATAAGCAGGGGTGTTGTGACAGTAATGTGAAGGAACAGTTCAGAGATCTTCAAGCCATTTTATAACATAATTCTTGCCTATGTCACACGTTGAGTTAGGTAAAAATATTGTATTGCAAGTACAAGCGATTTTATTGGTCAATTGACTTAGGCAATAAATGTAGGGCTTGCATGTAAGCTAAAGAGCAAACTTAGGCAAAAATTTCAAATTTGACAAAATTAAAGTGACGTAGTATTCTTTATATAAAGAATACTAATGAGGACATGACCACAATAGATGCTGCCTTATTAGTATTCTATAGATAAAGAATACTAATTAGGAGTGTTTTATTGTTTGACATGATTTGCCAATTAATAAGCTTATGAATTATTAATGACGTTTGAAACAATTATAATACACATAATTAGTGGTAAGGTAATTAATAACTTTATTAGCATGACCATAAATTTACAGTATTGCTAAAGCATTACAAACAATATATAGAAGAAACTATGATAAACTAGGACTATTTCAGATTACTATTTGTGGAATGATTTATAATAGACTAATACAATATTAAGAAGAATTAAGAGGAAAGAAGACAATTGGTATACTATTCACAAATAAGGTGGTTATTACAACCTTTGCTAATCTGCATTCCTGGTTTCAAGGTATTTAAGTCTTTGCTCGAAACATGAATAAACAAATTTTGAAAGTTTGGTTATGATTTCACTATCAGTTGACTTCATTATGTCCACTGATAGAGTTTGAGAGTTTAGATTAATCTTGTCAGATGAAGCATTTTCTAATGAACTTTGAAGGTTTGCACGAGATTGCTCATACGCTTTGCAAGAGAGGAGATGGGTTTCATTTTCCACCTCTCCTGAATTGCAGATTTTACATAAGTGTTCTTCACTGGGTATATTTTGATAGCGCCCAATCTCAATTTGGAGGTTATGGTTGTGGACTCTAAATCTTGAAAGACATTTTCATTTGTATGGATCTTTTCCCCCGAGCCGACGGTGCAAAGCGCCGTGCGAGGGTACTAATTGCCCCCGGCTATTTACACCCGGGGAAACAAAAGCATTAGGGAAGTCTAAAGTTCATCAATTATGGGCGTGGGTGACCAAACCATGGGTGATCATCCTCACTGATCTCAGAAATATGGCGGACTGTCATGAGTAGCAGACACCGACTGGTCCAGTTTAAAGTTTACATTATAACGACTGCATGATGACAGCGAAATAGCAAATATTTCTTGATTTGATGATTGATGAATTTTTTGCTTGCATTTTTGCAAGATTTTGTAAATTTCAAAAGTTTTCTCATAAAGAAAGGGCGAAAGAATCGGCTAAAAGAAGGGAGCCACCATTAACAAAGATAAGTTTGTTTTAAATATTATTTTATAATGGATTTAAAACCAGACAGCCTTTGCATATATGAAACAACTAAACAAGACAGCATATAATTTCAGTATATCTTTAATATTGATTCCCTTTTTTATTATATTGAATTTGTTAAATAAAAAAGAAAGCAAATTTATTATATTGAATTTGTTAAATAAAAAAGAAAGCAAAGTTATTTGTAAGCGAGAATTTGAAATCATTTTATCGCAAACTCAAAGTTTATCGACAAAGCCATTTAATTAAAGGCAGTTTAGTTTTATGAAGAGCATTTTAATTAAAACGTTTTGCGAAGCATTTGTGGTTGAATTTTACCTTAAATTGAAGCTTATATTACGTACAATAACATATCTAACATATATATATTGGGAAATTGATAATTTTGTAATTAAACGTGATATTTTTAGGCGATTTGTAAGAATATTCTTAAAAAATTATCGTGTTACCATGACAACTACTCTAGATAGTTCATGTTCGGAAAATACAATGGTTTTGACAGCAAGGCGAGGGTTTCTGCATGCATGTATTTTCTAGTATAAGTACTAAGTAGTTTTCGAGGTTGTGGTTTGTTTTGAATGTTGAGTAGAAAGTCAGTTTGGATGAATTTTCGAGTTTATGTTTCCAAAATGTTAAGTATTTTTCCTCAAGGGTTTTGGTAATAGTTTTAATATGTTCAGTCTTACGGCTTCTAAATTAAGGATTTCTTCATTTAGATTTAAATTTTTGACAGTATCCATTGCATTTCCATAAAATGACGTTTTCTGCTTGGAGTGCAGATCTTTCGAGATTATAGAAAAGCTTGCTTCGCAATGGTTGTTTGGGGGAAGTGAGTTTAAGCGATTGATATGTTTGAAGACCCTTTTCCAAGCTCAGCTCTGGAGGCAATGTTACTTGCTTTCCTACTGATAGCGAGGTAAATTTTACAGAACTTAGGATGAACTTTTTCAATTGGTGATTTATCCCAGTTGTTGAAATCATTTTTCATGTATGCCCCCCCCATACTTCCGAGTTGTACAGTAAGATATGAGTTATAATTGTCAAATATTTTAATGGCATATTTGGGATTGAGATGGCTAAAATTGAGCTGTCTTCTTATACCGTATAAAGCATGCAAGGCTTTTTAAAACTCTTAGTTGTTTTAGAGCTAGAGTAAAATTACCATTGTTATTTAGTTTGACTCCAAGGTAACAGTATTCCTGTACGATTTTTATGTTCCGATTTCGAAGATTAAAAATTGGTCTTGCTTTTCTTGTTTTTCTTTTTTCAAATATCATTATATGCTTTCTTCAAATTTATCTCCAAGATTTTTGTAGGCCGAATCTTAATTGAGATAATAAAATTAAGTCATTGACATATAGAAGGCAACTCAGTTTACTCCCATTTGGTAGTATAAATGGACCAGCAGCTGTATTATCAAATAATGTTGCTAATTTTGTTTATATAGATATCAAATAAAAGGGGGCTCAAAATACACCCTTGAGGCACTCCTTTGGAGTAAGAGAAAAATTCATTTCGATTTATTTTGCTTTCTTTTACGGCACATTTAGAGGTTGAATATAGACTTTTAATAAGGTTGTAGAAATGACCATCAATTTTGTTTTCAAGTAGTTTTAAAAATAGGCCTTCATGCCAAACAGAGTCAAAGGCTTTTTTAAAGTCCACAAAGCATGCATAGATTTTTTCGTTTTTCTGATTTATGTGTTTGTCAATTATTGTTTTTAAGACAAAAATGTGGTCAGCTGTTCTGTGGCCTGACTGGAATCGATTCCGGCATTTAGCATTTCTATCAATGCTAAATTTACCTAACCGTTGATTTAAAATAGTACTAGAAATACATGCATGCAGTAACCCCTCGCCAATATTGCCATACAGTCGCTACCTGTAGTGAATTGAAGAAACCGTGTTAAAGACTGACCCTGTAAAGACTTAATGTACCGTTTTAAGTGATCCAAACATTGGTTTTCAGCATCATTAGCTGGAACGCACTTAAGCAGTTTTATTACTTTACGACTGCTTGGCCGCTTTTCATCGTACATTTCTTTCAGCACTTCTATGGATTGAAATGGGGGGAAAGACTTTAATGTTTGAATATGGGGGGCCCAACAGTGGACAACATATTTTGGCTTTTGAATTAGTTCTTGGTGTGCAAGTTCAGAAAAAATCAACCTAATATTTTCAGCATTTGGAATGCAGTGGCACTTGTACGAACTTAATAGCTCTAGCACTTCTTCATCATCAGGAGACAATTCTCCATTGCAACACTTGTCAAAGGTCTCACGCTCATCGTCTGAGATGTACATTCGAAACGATTGTAGTAGGTCATGATTTGTTAAACTTTCTTCTTCAAACAAGCAAGTAGCAACAAATACTAAGGAAAGTGAAATTGGAAACTATTTTTCCCTGAGGTAACCATAAATAAGAATTCTAACAATTGCAACCCACTGCATTTTTTGATGGTCATGCCTTATTGAGGGAACTTTTTCCTGCACACCTACAGCCAATGAATCAACGAAAACCTGCCAAAAGCTTGTGAGAACATCCCTAGCTACACCTACACCTTCACCCTTTTCAGCCGAACCATCAAAACCTATTACAGTAAACATTAAAAGACTACCAAGTGTGTCTGGGTCTTGAAAGAGTTGAATCATATCATTCTTGAGGGTTGTTCTGTGCACTGTTACAGCCTTCACTGGATAATTGACAATATGATTCAGGTCAATTACACCAGCTTCAGTTGTTAATCGATGTGCTAAATTAGGAAAAAAACAAAGTGTTATAATAGGAATATTGCATTTACATGCACCCTTGTACTGACTTACATGCTACTGTAGCTTAACAGAACCATTAATTGGCCACAGTAATATGTGACAAACGCTTACAAAGGAATATATTCATTAGTGTATATCGTTGAAATATTCTTAACCTTTGCATGTGCTTTGTACTACTTGTCATTTTTTTTTTCAATAAAGTGTGACTTTAACGACCATTTGTTACTGTATTTCACTCAGTTGAAT